GCTTAGAAACAAATGCACAACCCTTATTAGAAGTGTTAAGTCAAATTATTACCTGACTGAGTCCACCAAAAACCTTAACGACTCTAAAAAGTTATAGCAAACAACAAAATCAAATTCTGGTCAGATAACAACAACTGATTTACCCAGCTCCATAATGACCAGCTCAGGTATTCTGACATCATCAATACTTAACTGTTTTAATGAACACTTCATATCCACTGGCTCCCTATTTGAATCGATGCACCCTGAAATGTCACCTGTTGACCAGGCTGGTGTAAATCCATCCCCAACTCCACATGTGCTAAATAAATCCGTCACAAATTGTTTTAACTTTGTGGCAGTGTCTCCCGCAGAGGTTCTAAATGCTCTAAAGACAGTCGACACATGCAAAGCAGCAGGGCCTGACAACRTCAAACCACTCTTCCTAAAACTAGCTGCTGATGTCATCGCTGAACCGCTTTCATATATTTTCAATCTTAGTCTCAACACAAATACAATACCTAAGGTCTGGAAATCAGCTTTTGTTCTCCCCCTGCTACAAGGGGTTGAACCCACTAATGTCAACAACTACAGACTAATCTCAAAACAATGTATCTTAGACAAACTGTTTGAAAGACTTGTCTGTGACCAGTTAACTGATTTCCTTGAGTCAAATAACATTCTATCACCATTTCAGTCAGGCTTCAGAAAACACCACAGCACTGTTACTACAGTTCTTAAAGTCCTAAATGACCTCATACACACCCTGGACTGCAAAAAAAATATTGTGTTGCATTATTTATAGACCTGGGCCTGTATTTATAAAACTTCTTAAAGTGGGTTTTTACACTTAAGTGCTGAAAATTTCTTAGATTTGCTCCTACTCTCAGACTTGTGTAAGTGCCAGTTATCAAAATTCTTAAGTCTAAGAATCACTCTACTCTCAAGAAAAGATAAGACTGCTCCAGAGGACTCTTAAGTGGTTAAGAGTTGCCACTAGCGGTCTGAGATGAACTGAAGACAGAGATCACAGCTGTCCTCCTCCCCACCTGAGTGTTATTCTCAGTTATAAGGTGGAAAACAGGTTTGATCAGAAATATACAAAAAAAAAAAAAAACCAAAAGCTGCAAGAAAAAAAAAATGCGTATAATGTTGGACTAAAAGGCGGATATTTGTGTGTGGCTTTTGGAGAAAATATTAAAGATAGAGTGCATGCGACCCCATTCCCCCTGCCCCCAAAATTAAAATTGAAATTAAAATTACGGTGGGATTGAACATTCCATTTATTAGATTAGCAATCACGCGATACAATGATGGGGGTGTGTCTGTGTGTAAAGCCGGTGTTGTCTGCAGACAGTGGCAAAGAGGAGAAGGGAGCAGCTCAACATTACCTCAGTTTCTGAGACAAAAAAAAAMAAACTTTAAAGCTGCTGAGTTTTTAATTACATTTTTTTTTGTCTGTATTCATGTCGAAAATGAGGACATTTTATGTAATTTATAGACAATCAGTACAAGGTGACAACATTAGTGTGTTGAAAATGAACTTATCTTAGGATTTTYAGTTTTATCTTGCCATTTCTCCGACAATATTCTTGAACATGAAATCCGGGGCAGTGATTGGTCCATGCCAGGGGGTTTTCTAACGACGTCATCCAGGTCCAGCTTTGCGGCACAGCCAGGTGTCGCAAATCAGCTCTAAACTGACACTTAAGAATTACTTCTACACTTTGCTTAAAGTAAGACTGAGCTGCTTGATAAATGACTTTTACTCTCAGCTTTTAACTAAGAATTTTTTTGCACTTAAGTCCACTCTTAGCAGCATTCTCAAGAGTAATTCTAAGAAGTTTGATAAATACGGGCCCTGTCCAAGGCGTTTGATACAGTTGACCATAAACTACTGATAAACATCCTGGAACACTCTGGTCTATCGAAACAGGCAGTCTCTTGGTTCACCAATTACCTGACGGATAGAACAGTCGGTTCATGTGGCCGGATCCTCTTCTACATTCTTAGATGTTGTCAAAGGGGTGCCACAAGGCTCTGTTTTGGTTCCCATTCTTTTCTCAATATATATCAATGATTTGTCATTCAAAGCCCACAACACTAAAATGGCCACTAAGCTCGAGTTGAAACTAGGTTTTCATTACAGAAACAAATCCTGCTTCCCGTGGAAAGTTAGGAGATCATTAGTAGCTGCAACATTCATGCCAGTATTAGGCTACAGTRATGTGCTGCACATGAGTGCTGCATCAAAATACCTGCAGTCCTTAAGAGTCCGTCTACCATAGAGCTCTATGGTTCATCACAGACTCCAGTTACCTTACTCATCACTGTGTGAACWGTATGTCAAATCTGGMTGGTCATCCCTCACTGCTCGCAGATACACTCATTGGACATCTCTAATCTATAAGACCCTCCTGAATTTAGTCCCGTCTTACCTTATCACCTTAATACAAACAACATACACTCATTGTTSCCTGCGCTCATACAATCTACTGTTGTCAGTTCCTAATGTCAGAACTGTTTTGCTTCTCGTCATCTTCATCTCCAGAACAGAGGTTGTTCATTGTTCTGTAAATGGGCTGTTAGACTGATAAAGTCTCAGCAAGACTTAGCTTGACCCTCACAGTATATTTATGAACTAAAACATTACAAAATAAATTGGACTTTTACTTTCTTTCAATAATTTTGGAGTTGCTTTAAAACAAGAAAGACATTTTTATCCTCCAGTGAAACATGAATGGGAGCCATTTTCTCATTTTTGGTTCTGTTTCCTGCAATCAAAACAGACAAAAAAAGGTCCTGAAGTGTAACCTTGCCTAAAGATATGAACATGGGTGTTACAGAGGTTTAATACATTGTGTTATGATTAAAATCACAGTAAAATATGATTTCAACATGTCTGTTGCAGATGACCAGCAGCTGTTGAAGGTTAAAAAAGAAGAAGAGGTTCCTCGTCTGTGCAGCTCCAGCCTGGATCAGCAGAACCCAGAACTCCTCCACATAAAGGAGGAAGAAGAGGAACTTCCTGTGAAGAGTGGAGATGATGAGAAACCTCAGTTATTCCAGCTTCATCAGATCAAAACTGAAGACTGCAGAGAGACAGAAACTCCAACCAGCAGCTCAGCTGAGCTCATGAAGACAGAAACTGATGGAGAGGACTGTGAAGGACCAGAACCAGACAAGAACCAGAGTCCAAATACTAACTTACAGCCAAACACTGATGAGAGGGCTTCAGACTCTTCAGAGACTGAAGACAGCAATGATTATGATAAGGATGAAAACATGTCAGGTTCTGSATCTGACAATGAAGACAGTGATGAAGATTGGAGGGAAACCAGGACACCTGGATCAGGAGTAAAAGGCAAAGTAAGATGTAAAAGTGTTGAGAAATCCTTCAGCTGCCCGGAGTGTCTCAAACAGTTTGTCAACAAGCAGACTCTTCAGAAACACATGACTTCTCATTCAGGTAAAAGCTCTGGCAGTTTGGTGGATAAGAAACGTTCTAGAAAAAAACAAATTAGAGCCGAGAAACGATTTGATTGTGTTGATTGTGGTAAAACATTAGTATCTCAGGCGCACCTTAAACTTCACAGGAGAATCCACACCGGAGAGAAACCGTATAYTTGTGAGGAGTGCAGTAAAGCTTTTCGTCATTTGCAGGGTTTCAGATGTCACATGACACACCACACAGGAGAGAAACCRTTTCAGTGTCAGGTGTGTGACAAGAMATTTAACTCACAAGCAGTTCTGAAGCAACACGTGTTCATTCACACAGGGAAAAAACCCTTCGCCTGCAGTAGTTGTGGTCGATGTTTCAGACTTAGCGGGGATCTTAAAGTACACATGATGTGTCACGTGGGAGTGAAACCCTTTGTCTGCGGGGATTGTGGCATGGGATTTTCCCGACAGGGATCTCTGAACCGACACACTAAACTCCATATGGAGGAGAAACTGTTTGCCTGCGATAAGTGTGACAGAAAGTTTTTCCGAAAGTCACATCTTGAAAGACACGCCTTGGTTCACTCAAGGGATCAGAAAGACGACACTAAAGTTAGACCGTTTGCTTGTAAAGACTGCAAAAAGAGATTTGTGCAAAAGAAACATCTTAAAGCTCACAAAATTCTCCACACAGGAGTAAAACCATTCTGTTGCGACATTTGTGATGCAAGTTTTGCTCGACCCGATGCTCTAAGGAGACACAAGACGCGAGTCCATCATATGTAGAAGTTAGGGATGCACCGATATAAAAATTCTGACATTTGCTGATACTACACAAACACTCAAATTATTTAAATATATGCACTATATTGCCAAAAGTAGTTGCTCACCCATCCAAATGACCGTGCACCACACCAGTGCACAAAGCATGGATGGCAGAGTCTGGTGTGGATGAACTTGACTGGCCTGCAGAGTCCTGACCTCAACCCCATAGAACACCTTTGTGATGGATTAGAGCAGAGAGCCAGGCCTTCTGTCCACCGTCAGTATGTGACCTTACAAATGCTTCTGGAAAACGGTCAAAAATCCCCATAAACACTCCTAAACCTTGTGGACAGCCTTCAGAAGAGTTGAAGCTGTTCTAGCTGCAAAAGGTGGACCAATGTTGTATTGAACCCTATGGATTAGGAATGGAATGTACCTTAAGCACATTTGTGAGTCAAGTCAGGAGTGTGTGTGTGTGTGTGCGTGTGTGTGTGTGTGTGTG